TACAGCCTTCATTGCTGTTTCATTAGAGAGGTAACACAGAGGCATCGCATTGTATCAGCCCTGCTTCTTGTGTGTGTGTGTGTGTGTGTGTGTGTGTTCTGCCCATGTTTGTACAGGCCTGTACACTTGTATTTGTGCTTGCCGCATCATAATCTCAGCTTTTAGGCACCTTTTTTTTGTTTACGGTATCACTTTGAACACAGCAGGAGTGTGTATGTGTGTAAGTGGATGTAAATGTGAAATGTGTTTGCTTCTCATTACATGTCTTTGTGAGATAGCCATATCATAATCTGGTGTCCAAAGCATCACTTTCTGTGTTTACCCTGACGTCACTTTGATGACTTTTTTCTTCAGGGCAAAAAACACCTAAAAACCCCAAAACATAAAAAAATCTACCAAACGTGGATAAGTGCCAAAGCTCAGGGAAATAAGCAGCCGCTTAGAATCATCCATCTGAACACCTTTAACAACGGCGTCCCGATGAGCGACAACAGGCCAGGAAAATAACTTCCTTGCCTTGAGGCTACAATGTCTGGCACATCCCAAAATTCATCAGATGCATTCAGTTTCCCCTAGCCATGCTGAAGAGGACCAGGGGAGTCCGTGAGCAATTCATTAAAGAAATATGCACAGCATCAAGAATGCATTTCTGTTCACCAGTTGACTCTTTGCTACAGCCCTTCCCCAAACAGCAATTGTCCAATCATAGCTCAGCAACCATAACTTTAAGTAAGGCCTGTTTAGACTCTTCCACACCAAAACGCCAATGAGTTTAAGGAGGAATTCAACTTGTTTTGTAATGATACAAGATACACAACAAGATACATACCAGCCAGAGATGAAGATTTGAATCAAGTCGTGGACCTAACGTTAGCATAATTAGCTATGTAGTTACTGTCAGTGACAGCTGGGAAAATCAATGGTTGCGGTCTGAAAATTAGACGTCTGCTTTTGTTTCCAAAACAACTATGAATTTGGATGGTAAATATTCCATCATTATCAGTACGTAAACTGTGTACCGTGAGGCATGTGCTGTAGGGGAATGGAAAGCTTGACATGCATTGCAGGGTAACAAGGGGAGGTTGGGCTTAGCAATTAAAGATGTGACTCCCAACGGCGTTTTGATATCCCTCCAAACAAACTACGGTGCATCCTTTCCCATACGTAGAAAGACAAGCTCCAAAGTCTTGAAAACATCCGATGGAAACCTTCGTCTCATGCTCTTAATTAGAAAGCTTAAAGCTGTTGTGTCATCAGTTTTATTTCCCTCAGTGCCACATTTGGGTCACCCGTTGCTGCCGATGACGTCCATCAGTCAGGGCTAGACGTGGCTAACGGCTAGCTAAGTGGTGCTCATTGAGCTGGGGTCCTGCTATAATAGTTTCATGCAATATGAAGTCATTCATCAGCACTGTCCTCAAGCAGCAGAGAGGGAGAGACAGAGAGACAGAGAGGGGAGAGGGGAGAAGGAAGGTGATGAGGGACAGTAAAGCAGGAACTTCAGTCACTCCAACACAAGGTTGAAGGAAGAGATGGATGGAGAGAGAGATGAGGTGAAAAAGAGAGAGAAAGAGAAGAGGATCAAAACTCATCCATGTTAACAGTAAGTTTAGTAAATAGTTTCCAGCTGTCAGCCAGCATGGTACATCTAGCATTCAGCGTTTGTTTGTATGCGTGTCGTCTGGACTGCATTTTAAATCACCTCATTAACACAGCATTCATACTAGTGGGAACCAGCTTCTATACATTACACTGGAATGGTACATTAGTGTTACTTCTTCTGAGAATTCATACTTTTTCTGAATTGTTTGTTTTACTAAATAGCCTGCATGTTTTTACCAGCAGATCAGAGTGATGAGTGATTGTACTGGGCAGATTCAAGTCTGTGAATGTGTGTAGGTGTGTGAGATAAAAGGTTAAACAATTCATTAAATCTATGAGCATTGCTGCAGGACAGCGGTTAGTCACTTGAAAATAGCACAGTTCAGTTTAACTTATATACTTATATTTAATAATCACTTCCCTTAGAGTTGTTCCAAAATGCCATTTACTGTATCCATTTTAAAAAGAACCTTTAAAGTCAATATTTAAAAAATACACAAGAATAAAAAGGGTATATGTGTCTCCCTCAAAGGTGTTAGTAAATTCACAATAACTATTCATCCCCACTGTACATGTGTTGATCACAGAGTAGGAATACATTTTTTGACAGTTGTCCTTGGAGCCTGCTTTGAGCTAAAAGCTTGGAGCTTGTGTGTGAGTCAAACCACTGGTATCTCCTGGATCAAGGCTATTTCAGTTCAGGTACTTCAATTCCCCTACCTGATACACGTGCATTGTGTTGTGTTTGCTACACGTGCATTGTGTTGTGTTTGCTACACGTGCATTGTGTTGTGTTTGCACCGTTGCCTTGTGCACTTTGAATCAATATTTCTCTGCTACCCAGTTAACCTCAGTCTCTGTTTGCCATCTTGATTTTACCTTCTTTAAGCGAAACATTTTTCTCACCACCTTGTTTTTCTTTTTTAAAAGTCTCATCCAGACTTATCGTATTTCATCTGTCTTTGTTATTTTTTTGTATCAATGAGACGACAACCTTTTACCCATGCACTGGGGTCAAGTGCTGATCACCCGACTCATTAGCTGGTTTTACCCTCCCGACACAAACTAAACTCACAAGCGCAAAATCCATATACACCACTAACATAACCAACCAGGGCAGGGCAATTACCAAGTAAATGGCAAATTTAGTGTGACACACGGGTCAGTGCTTTCCACTGCAGCTTTTTAGCCCACTGTGTATGTGTAATACATGCTCATGGTGTGTGTACGGTACAGGCTGTAATGTGTAACCACACAACCTCTCGTCTATGAATTTGACACTCCTCAGTATGTAAACCTAAACATGCACTTTTATGGGTTAGAGTTTGCAGTTTGAAGGTCACATTATAAGCAAGTCAGTAAATAGACTTTTGGTGTTACACTGTCGATGCAATACAGTGTTCAATCATTTATAGGATAGCTCCTAGAAAGCCTAGGAGGAGACACCCCATGGGTAAAAAAAATAACTAATAGATATTGTCATGGGACTTCCCCCAGTTGATTAGTTACAATAAAACAATTATAATTTTTTTTGGCATTGCACGTTTACTCAAAATGTATGTCTAAATATGCAAATGAGGGATTATTTTATTGTTCTAATTTCACATTTCCAGAACAGAAATCTAAGCATTGGATTACCAAGTTCAACATTTGAATTTCATTTTGTTGACATATTAGAGTTAAATGCTTTTACAGAGGGAGTTTGGAGATTTATTTTTATAACTCCCATTAATCAGAAAATTCTGTCAACAGCTGTGAAAAACAAAAATGTTGCCTTGTTTTTAGGAATAAAATGTTCATCAAATGAATCAGCCTATGAATGATATATGAACAAATTTCTCAATAAAACCATTTAGAATATAGATAAGAATGAAGCCGAAGAGTTTGGTGTAAGTAAAACTGATTTCTGGCTCAGGGTGAAATTAATTTTGAGAAAAGCAGCCTTTAAAATTCTATAAACATTGATATCACCATGAAACAGTTGATTACTTAGAGTAAGACAATTAGTTTTTGTATTACAAGTTTTCTGAAATGTTATGTTTAAATATACAAATGAGGCATTGCTACATGTCAGGCAGGAACAAAGCGCCCGTGTATGTGCTGTCTTCCCTCCTGCCTTTCTTTCTCTCTCCCTCCCTTGTGTTCTTTCCAGCTGCAAACAAGGTGATTGGTTTCTACTTGTGCAGGCCAGTCATGCTGCTCCTTGGTCTCCACACACTTCAAGATGGACAATCAGCACACTGGGTCCAGAATAAACGGAGGAAGCCTGAGGAGTTCACCCTCTTCGTTTTTGTTCTCTGCCTGTTTGAGCTGTCACACAGTTATTGATGATCTGTTAAGGTTTGTAGTGGGAGGTGGAGGACAGTGGGTGAGTTGGGGTACCCTTTACATTTGTACACACACGTTGTTCACCTTTGTCTAGATACTTGAGGATTATTGGCAGGTGCACCACCCCTGTATTTGTTTTGGTGAAGCTATTCTTTTAGATAAGCGAGTAAAGCCATGTTGTTTCTGTTTTGTTGTCAGAGGTTGGAGTTAGCCAGGCCTAGTTTTGTTATATTCATTTATATTAATTTGGCACGACCACTTTGTCCCAGCCTCTCCCACATTGTTTGAGAACCTTTGTTTGCAAGTACCTGAGTTTGAAATAAATCCCCTTAATTGTTACTTCTACTCTTGCCTTCTACTCTTAACAGGCATTATCTATTGCAAACATTTTGTGACTTTAGGAGATATCTACAGACACAAACAGACAAAGTAATAAAATAAACACCGAAATGTGTATTTTGGATGTTTTCTTTCCACTAATCTGAAAGAAGACGTGGAAGCAAAATAGGCAGAAATATCAAAATTGACCAGTGCATAAAAAACAGTGTATTTGCCTCAGGTGTCTCCCTGGAATAAGAAATAATAATAATAACAACAAACAGAATCAAGAGCCATCCTAGTTTCCTACCTGTAAACTTAAATGTGTAGATGAAACATACATCATAAATATTTAATTGTTCTATGTTGCAGAAACTTCTACTGTGAAAACAACTGACCTATCTTTTCAAAATTGAGATTTTTATGGCCTGAGTGCAGAATAACCACAGCCCCCCGCAGACTTTTATGAACACACAAATACAAAAGGAAGAAACTAGAAGGGTGATCGGAGAGCGCAGACCTTCAACAAGGCCATGAACCATCTCACACCGATAGCAACAGTGACAAATAATTAGTGTATCCGCCCTGTGATTTAGATCCACTACAAAATGTAAAGGGTTATTCCCAGGTCCATGCTACACCCTTCCACCAACAAACGAACCAAAAACATAACCTCCATGTTGGAGCTAATCGGTGGCTGACGGAGGAAGCTGTTGAATAAACAGGAGTAGATATGCGAGCTTCAGCCCTACCTCTCTGCTGTGGAGGACACCCTCCTCTGACACATCACCGCCAACGAACTGCTTCCCGGTGCCATTTCCTGTTTGATCTCCCACGCAACGAGGTTGCTGGGTTTCACAGCCAGGAAGTTAATGCCTGACTGGAACCACACCCTGCAGAGAGATGAAGAGAGAAATGAAGAGAGTGAGAAGAGAAAGCCAGGTTAATCTAAAGTTCACAGAAGCACATCACAAACACAAAAAAAGGAGAGTTGTCACAGTGACTGACAGTCGGGGGGAATTTGCTTCAAATTGAATTTGGTTCGCTTGGAATTTCACCCGATTTCCCCGCTGATTTTCTTTAATCCCTGATATGTGCCATACTCTTTGTATAAAATGTCTTTTTAAAATGATTCACCCAGCATGGTGTTGCCTCCCACGGTATGTTTTGGTGGGAGAAGACGACGGAGTGACAGGAGAATCTCTTATGAAAGTTAACATTTTAGTAAGTAAGTGCTGCGTGGTGAATTGGATGTATGCTGTGCTGGATATTATATATAATACACAAAATGTGACTTTGCTGTTAATATAATTTATTGTTTGTTCCATTCATTTTGCTCTCTTTCTTTTCCTTTGTCCTCTTCAAATACTTCTTTTTTTCTCACCTTCACTTTATTCCTTTCCTTAGTAAACATATACATCAAACCTCCTAACTGTCCCTCACATTTTGCCATCCCTAATCCTCTCCCTTCTCCAGTGGACTTTATTCTCTATTCAATTAGATTAAGAACATTCATCAGTGCCCCTTTTTTTAAATCCAGGTTTTCCATCAAACTGGATGATTTCTTCCTCCATTTCTCTTGACTCCAACTCTCCCTACACTTCCATATTTGTTTTGGCTTTCTGTTGGACGACATACCCCTTCCCTTCTTACCCATCTTCTCTATCCTTCCCGTCCAGATGTCCTCCTTGTTTCTATTCCTCCTACCTCACCATTCCCTCGCCACTCTCTCTCCTTTATTTTCCTTACCAGGTCTCCTCTTTCATCTCTTTTCCTCACGTCCTCCTAAAGCTTTTCTTCTGCCTTTCATCCATCCCTCTGTGATTTCCTTCCCTGCCTTCCTCCCTCTCTTCCTTCCCTATATACCTTCCTTCATCCCCCCCTCTGCACCTCCTCTACCCTTCAATCTCAAGGCATCCTATGGTTAATCTCTTTATTTTCTTTGTCTCCCTCTTTCCCCCTCTTTCTCTAATCCGTCCCGGTGTGTTTTGTTCTATTTATCACTTTGACAAGACCCTCCCTCAGTTCATTAACACACTTCATAGGCATGCGCGCAAATGCACGCAAGCTTGTTTACTGCTTTTCTTATTAACACACTTACAATAGTCTTTGGCAAACAACAAATACCAACACAGACTCAACTTTTTCCTCCACACAGAAGGGAAGCAAATCCTCTTTTGTCTCCTTTCTCATTAATACTTTCTCGTGTTTGTCTCGCTTCATGTCTTGCCAAAAACTGCCAGCAAATATGCCATGCCCGTCCCTTGATGTGCTTTCTGTACATACGTATGTTTGTGAGTATGTATGTATAGATGCACCTGTGTGTCTAAACAAGATGCTGTTTGGCAAAGGGAACGACCCTCTTGTGAAAACTTGAAAACTCACTTTATTTTTCTGTTTGACTCTGAACAATTGTGTCTTGGTTTATTTTAAACGAGGGGAAGATTTTCCATGATTTACCAATTATGTGTTGTTTATGTGCTCCGGTTAGGAAAAACAAGGGAAAAGGAAGTGAGAAGTTGCAAAGGTCTTGTGGGTGCTCATGTTCCCAAGAAAAATACCGTTAGTGTGTGTGTGTGTGAGAAGCAAAGCAGCATAAAAATAATGGGCAGTCCCCCTCTTTTATAATTCAACAGCTGAATTTGACATAAAATAATAATATTTCAAAAAAATTAGAAATTGTTCTGCTTCCTGTGTTTCTTTCTCTGTATCCCTCTCTCCTTCTGTCTCCTCTATCTCCCTACCTCACCTTCTTCTCCCTCTGTCTCCCATTCACTATGTCCTCCTCCTCAACCAACCCAGAATTTAAGATCATCCACTTCAAAGGAAATTTACTTTACCCAGACGGTGGCTAAGAAAGTTCAGAAAGCAAAGCGAGTTCGGAGAATAACAAAATACAGCAGATAGAATGTGAATGACAGACTGACAGGAATGGAGAACAGAAATGTTTGCCTGAACAGCGGCTGGGAAACATTCACTCGAGAAAGACAGTTGTGGAAAACACAAATCATAAATAAAACATACTAATACAATGAATACAACCTCTCCAGCACTTCTTAGAGTGAGCATAGATCTCAGTTAATGTGATATCAAATAATGCACTTTCTTTAGCAGCAAATACAATGTAAAGATTCATACACAACACATTTAGAGAGGCAGTCCTACACTACAACTGGAGGCCAAAACTGTGGCAGGCGTAAAATTGCAACATTCGCCCAAAGCCACCACTAATACAGAAAGTAGAGGCCTGTCAGTGAACATTTTGAAACTGACTGCCAATGATTACAACTGACATGTTATCTGAAGGGTGACAAACAAACACTGCAACAAATCTGTCAAAACAGGCAGAAAAATACCTATTTTCTGTGAGGAATTGTAGGATGTTTAAATCAGATCAGGGTTGAAGAAAGAATAACATGCAGCAAATATGAGACTGTCACAGTACAACATTTGTAGTTTCATCAAACGCTTTACACATCTTGCCTTTTACTGACAAGTGACCTCCTGTGCTTAATGTGACAGGAGTTGGTCGTTGCAATGAACCTCAAGAGAATTATCACTTGACTCTGCAGCTTCCCTCAGGTCTGTGGACCATTTTAGAGTCTTTCAGCTAACTGTTTGAGAAGGGTCTATCAGCAGTCTCGCAGGCTCCACGACAGACCCACTTTACTATGAGACACACTCTCTTAACTACATGACACGTAAACCCTAACCATGCAGTTTTGGCACCTAAACCTAACCAAACTGCGATCGTGTCAAGGGCGTGTCACGTAGTGGGCAAGTTATGTAGTACTGTGCACTCACAGCATGCCACTTTACTGTTCAAGTTCGCTCGGAATGCTCTCTTTGACCTCACTTCTAGCCTCAGCAGGCGGTTGTTTTCAGCAGAAGAGCTCTGATAAACCCACTGTGCGCCCACTTGCCCAGCACCAAACCGCGTACTAGCTGGTGAACATGTGGAGCATAGGAGCTACAGAGCCAGATATTTCCCTCAGGAGGAGGAGAAGAGTGAATGTTGAATTTGTGGAATTTCAAATGATGTTGCTTTTTGTAGGGCATATGTCAAACATGTATACGAAAGTGTGACCAAGTCAATGGTGCTTTAATCATGGCAACAATCTTTCTATACTAGATGACTTATTTAGTTGTAAGTATTTGCGGACATTTTCCCTTTGTTTCAGTCAACATAACTAGAATTACCATCTCATTGTTGTATGCCTCCCCCAAACAGTCAGTTTCCATCCATGTCCTGTCCAAATGAACCCCCCCCCCCCAACACACACACACAGACACTCACATATGTAAGAAAATACAGCAACACTGTTTTCCCATGTTGCATCCGTCAGGACTGTTGTGTGCTTGTGTGTGTGCATGTCTGTCAACAAGCAGAATGATGGACAAGGCTGCGTCCCTAAGCTGCTTCTGTCAGATCTGTGTACAGCAACAAAGCCTGACAAGTGTCTGTGTCTTTCTTTCTCTATCTGTCTGTTTTTTTTCTCTCTCTCTCTCTCTCTCTCTCTCCCCATTTGTTTTATGTTTCAGGTCAATGATTCTGTTCTAATCTGCAACACATTCTGTGTGATAAACCTCAAGACATAATAAGTTGTGATGTACAATTACAATGATATTCTAAGAGTGACCTAACCATCTAAAAATAGTTGTGCTTTGTCTCGTAGTGGCGCTTCACATTAATGCTTTTAATATTCGCCACGGTCTCTGAACATATGAGACATCCTGGTTTTAAACTGCCCGTGTGAAGAATTCACCTATACGAGTCTGTCCATTCTTAGTTAAAGACTCTTGTCTGTAAAAGCTGCGCCGGTTACAATATAAGCGTCTCCATCAAAATGTAATAATTCTCAATTATCCGGATACAACGGCGTCTGGGTCCGGATCCGGACCGCGGTCAGCCTATTAGTGACCCCTGGTGTACAGTATCTTGCTGATGAAACTGCTGCCAGTAAAATACTGTAATGTTTCAATTATTACAGTAAATTATGGTAAGCTTATTATTTTGATACAGCAGAGATATTGTAAAAAAACAGTAGCTTTACAATAGCTGTCAGTTTTCGCCATCTTATTTTCCTCCTATAAATCTATGATGTTGTCAAAGCAAGAATTTCAGTGCAATACACTTAAAACTTTATTTACAGCAGGAACATTAACTGGCCATCTATTCCTCCCTCGTTCCCTGGATGACACTCATACATTACACACATTCACAGCTACAGTCTGCTCCTGTTGGCCATGAGGTAGCTCTCAGAGCATTAACATTGATTTTATTTTCTTCTTTTTTTCTGGAGCAGTGCCTTGTTTATAGGCACTTCAACACTTGTTTTCCAAGTAGAAAAATAAAGAGTATGCAGAGGGAAAAGGCAATATGCCAAAAAGCTACACTGCAATAAAGTGTGCCTTTGCTCCTTTTAAACCACAATTGTAGGTTTTCATTCTTCTGTCATTGTGATGATGTCTCTTTTTCTTTTTCTTTTATTTTGGGAGTCATTTCATATATGCCCAAGGGGGTCTCTTTACCTCACTTTTGCACGTACTTAGAAAATTCTGATTTTGCTCAATTCTTAGCTGCTGGATGACTCCGGTAAGAGACGCTACATGTATGGTGTATCTGCCTCTGGTTTACACAGAGTACATCTAATCATAATCACCATTACACACCCACACGCCATCGCTCTCTTACACAGGAGCCCTATCAGCACTGACACAAGGTCATGTATGACTGTGTGTGTGAGTAAATCACTGCAGTGTTTGTGATAACTCTGGTTTCCTTGAGGAGCATCTGATGATAGAAGAAAAAAATTACACTCAGCAGAGAGAGAGAGAGAGAGAGAGAGAGAGAGAGAGAGAGAGAGAGAGATGGAGATGGGGAGAGAGAGGA